GAAAATGAAATTTCATAAAAGTGTATTTTACAGACTGACAACACATTAGCCTTTTTATGAAATTATACTTTGGGGTGAAGATACTCTGGAGGACTATCAGAAACTCATCATCCAAAAACCAACCCCCTGAATTTACCTTCCAAAAAGTGATATTCCTTTGCTCTGGCTGATGGAATGGAGTTAGAAGCTGCTTCTCTTGTGGTGAATCCAGGCAAATGAGCTGGGCATCTCGAAAGAAGGCAGCTGTCCAGGAAAGGTAGTGAGAGACTTCAGGCTCTTCTTGTTTTCTTTGAAAGACATTTCTGCTTCTCAGCCAAGTTTTTCTTTGTCTGATCCTTCCCTGAACTTTGAAGCACGTGTCTCAAGGCTCTCGCCTCTGGGTTTCGAGACTTATGATTTAATGAAGGTGTGTCTTTAGATGGATTTTGACCTAGTTGGTTCTGAATGATTTCAAAATGAAACTTCCTTCTGGAAGAGCATATAGGATAACGCTGTCTTCCTGTGTGCAATATATAGTGAGCTACTGGAGTCAAGGTAAGAGCAAAATGCAGATCTGACTGTCCCTGGGTCTTGATCGTGTTATGAGATGATATGATGTCTTAGGTTCGATCTTTTTGGAATGGGCAGGGGTGGGGCAGTGTCAGCTCCAGACGAGGGTGGTCCTTCCTTTGTTCTGGGCATGAGGCATACCTGGAGGCAGTCACAGTGGATGTGTAACTGTCCTGTGGCTAATCTGTATTTTCAGAGCTTTGCTGACATGTAATGATGTGTTCCTGGACTTACTCAATCTAGTTAACTCTGTTTAGCATAGTTAGATGTCTCCCCATTAGAAAATGGCAAATTGGCCCATAAGAAATGGAGATTGGAAGACAGGAAGTCCAGTAGAAGGCTAAGAAGGCCAACAGCTTCTCATGTATGGGGGCAGAGATTCCAAGAGATTTTAGTAACAGCAGCAGAAGTGGCAGGAAATACCCAGTGAAGATCACGGGCACATGGTAGTGTGCGCACACACACACACATTTTCCAGGAATTCGGTTTATAGATGAGGCTGACCTTGGACATGGTTGGTTCTCCTCTTCTACTTTAAGAGGTAGAATTCTGCGTGCTGTACATACACTGCATGCTGATTAAAGGGACATCCATGGTCAGTGACAAAGTGATCTCTCTGTATGAGGTGACTTAAGTTCTTACACTGGCCTTCTCGCCATCTCCACCATTTTGGATGATACCTTCCTTGGAAACCCAGCTGGTCCCTTCCTCAGCTGTCTGTTTTCACCCATCTTCTGCTGGCTTGGCTGTCAATCACAGCTGGACAGCTTATTTTTTTCTTTCCTGGCTAAAATGCATTTCCTCTTGTTGGTTCTCAGAACACCAAACTAATGGACTTCTTGTCCCCCAATGGTTACCCTCTCTGAGACTCACCCACTTTTCACCCCAGGAAAGGGAGGAACCCAGGTGCTCTGGTGTAAGCCATCCTGGCCTTAGGAGAGGCGTGGAGATGGCAAAGGTTCTCTGAATGGTGACCCTGGCAGCCAGAGGCCCTTGGAAAGGATGGGAACACTGCCAGGCAGCCCCTTTCAGAGTGAAGAGGGATTTATGGAAGAGAAAAATGTCTGGGATGGTTTGTGTATCTCCCTCAGCAGACAGAAAGAGGCCCCACTGTCTTCTCTAACTATTTTTTAGTGGGAGGATTCATTAGATGCTTGGTGGCTTCTGAAATTGCCGTAACACAAGGGTTCTGAGTGGCAAACTCAGTATCAATGAGTTTCTCCAATTAGCCACAGAATGTTGGACCCAACTCTAGTAGAGTTGGCAGAGGGGGTTCCCAAGAACTTCTCTGCTGGAGTGGGCAGAATGCTGTTCCTTCCTTTTCTCCATTAATCAAAAATCCTCTTTTTGGTCAAGGCCATTCTCCTATTTCCCATTGGTATTCTGTCTCCCTGTCCTTTCATTTCTCCCTCATAGGTATTCATTGAGCACCTGATATTATGTGCTTCTGGTCTTTTTCCTCTCCTTATTCCCAATCTTCCTCCTTCTCAATTAACATACAGATGATGAGGTTGGAAACCAGCGAGTTATCCCAAGTGCTTCTACTCTTCTTTTTTCTCTTCCTCTTCCATCCTCCCATCTCCCATCTCAGTCACCAATTCCTGTCCACTTGTCCTTCATAAATCTTTTGCATCTGTCCTCTTCTAGCCTTCCCTACATTCTGGTTCTGCTCTGACTCACCACAGTTTTGCTTCAAGACCACATCCTTCTCAGTGGCCTCCCTGCCACCAATCCTCTCCACCCCTTCCTTTGCTCCAGGGCTCTCTG